TAAATTTTGTAGAATAACTCTTGTTCAACAAGCTGATATATCAATAAAGGTGTCAATATTTACTTTCGAATTGCAATAATGAAAGTATAAAAATGTACAGAAACATTTTCCGTCGAAAGTATTTTTTTGACCTTTCAAAGCATCATGTCACTAGTCTCAAGAAAATTTCTAAGTCTATGTTCAGAAAAAAGCGCACATAAATTTTGACATCTTGGAAATAATTTGAAATTAGTGAAAAAATAAACAAACATTTTGTCTCAAAACTTTCGACTCATTCGTTAGGTAAATAAAAAAAAAAGAAAACAGTTATTATTTACCTGGGCAATACATGAAAGAATTCCAATAAATGCAATAAAATAAGCTACTTCATCTTCTGAAAAGCCAAGCATCTATATAAAAAAAACACATATTCAATTGAAATATTCATAAATAAATACCTACTAATCGTAAATAAACAAAAAAACATGAATATTGTCCAGCTTCTACAAATAAAACAAAAATATAGCAAATTAATTTTTTTAATATAATTTTTTACCAGGAAGATATGATAAAAGTACAATAAGACAAATAAGATAAATAAAACGATCATGAGTAATATTTCGAAGAGACTAATAATATACAAAAAAAAGAACGTTTTAAACAAAAAAAATTTTAAAACATACACCGAATGGATCAACTTTATTCCATGATACTTTTTGATTTGATCGTAATCGTTCTGGTAATGATTCAGGGACGCAAAAATAGATAAATAATAAATCTACTAATGCAACTAGTGCACCTAATAAATAAAAATAAACATATTTAATTACAAATCCATATATAAAAAGAAAAAAAGAAAACTAACTGAGTGCAATAATAAAATTTTCACTATAAAGTCTTGCTAAATGTGCACCAATAGCTGGACTTGTTATTAATGATGCTGCAAATGTTGCTGTTACCAAACCTATAAGAAATTTCAATAATAATAATAATAATAATAATATTAGCATTAAGTCTTATATACCATAAGCAGAGCTTCGAGAATGTTCATCAGTAACATCGGCAACATATGCATAGACAACAGTGAATGTTACAGAAAAAAGACCACTAATACTTATTAATGCAAAATACCACCTAAAACAATATGAATTATTTTGTAAAAATAAATACTGGGTATCCCAAGAGTCAGCGAGACAAATTCACGTAAATATCTCTTAAATAATCGAAGTAATATATTTTATGCACTTATTTAAAATAATATTATAGTATATTCTTTGAAGTATTGTTCTATATAATTTCAGACAAATGTATCTATTTATAAATATTAGAATAGAAATAGTTTTCTTTATGTCATTAATCATAGTGAAAGAAAAAAATGCAAGCGGAATTTGACATTCAAGCGTCAGACATAGAGTGTATTAGCGATACTTTTGTAGAGTACGTACATTGGTAAATAGATAATAATCCAAGAGATCTTTGAAAATTGCATAAAAGAAAATTGATGAAACCTATAATGCTCGTGGATATGTGCGAATGTCTAGTGTTTAGCTCCCTATGACAATAAACCTGCTTTATTCCACGGACAAGAGTGGGCTGAATTATGATTGTTTATCTTCCAATAAAGTAATATAAAGTACAATTTATCGAATGATTTCACGAAGAACATTGATACAAATGTTACAAAATATAAAAAATCAGGAGAATTTTTTTCTTTTTTTTTTTGGATAAAATCTCTTCATTTAAATGACTCATTCAAGAATATAAAGTGAAAACTTATGTGTATTAGACATATATAAAAATTTGGTTGAATTGAAAATAAGAGCCAATAATGGAAATAAATTAATTCGAAAATAAACTTCCTACGTTATATTTTTTAGAGATTTCGAGAACAATGGTTTTATATATGGTAAGTATTTTTAAGGTTTGCTGTAAACCAAATTATATGAAATAAAACTCACAAGAAAATACTATTACATTAGAGTGATCCAAAAAAAACTTGTTCCCTGTTTTTCGTGGAGTTCTTTCTACGATAGAAATAGTTAGGGAAAAACTGCTGAATAGAAATATTTTTATTTTAAAATCATTCCAGTATAACTAAAGACAAATAATAAATTCATTGAATTCCCTTCATATTTTGGTGTAGCTATAGATTAACGGGGAAACATTTCCAACGGATTCGCTCCGTTTGCTCTCATGTTTTCTAAATATGTAGGAAATTACTAGAATAATGTAATCTCTAAAGGTTTATTGCTCATGCTTAGATTTAGTCAAGATAGCGACTTTTTAGTAAATTCCTCTTGCAGGAGTCCATTTTTCAGAAAAAATTATATATAGAAATATCGATCTCAATCATTGTACACACGAAGATCTCGATTAGACTATCTCATGTGTAAATTTTCATCAATGTTGAATATCGTCTTGCCAAGATATGGATTTCTCAATATATATTCCTATGTTACATGGTACTTAAAGAAAGACATAGATATATTGAGAAATCCATATCTTAATAGTGCGATATTCAAACTTGATGATACTATGTATATGATATTGTCTAATCGAGAGCATCATATGTACAAAGTTTCAAGTCGAAAATTCGAAATATGATTGTTTTTCGAAAACTGGACTCCTGTAGAAAGAGTCTACTAAAAAGTCAATATCTCGACCAAATTTAAGCATGAGCTGAAAGCTTTTGAAGGTTACGCTACTCTAGAAGTCTCCTGCATATTAGCAAAGCATGGGAACAAATGGAGCAGACCACTTGGACATATTCCCTCACCACAGGTAGTACACTTGCTATGGAAAAAACTTCGCTTTAAAAAGAATTGTGTTTCAAAGATTGTTTTCATCTTCATACAATTATTTTAATTAAATGCTAATTGTTGTGTCAGTATTTCTCTATTATATCGTATATTGTTTTGGATTATGTAGTCAAAACTTATCAATATTTTATACATGATGTTACAGTCGTTGAAACGCTTTATCTATGCCATATAATTGATTGTAATTAAAATCAATTCAAGTGACGAAAGAATAGAATTAGCAAGATATATCGTTTTATGAAAAAATACGCAAACCTACTACTGTATAAGAATTTTAATAATTTTATCAAACTGATAATAATTCTTCATTTTTTATGTCTACTTAACCTGCCAACGTCTAGAAATGTAGCCTGACAATTTAAGGTCATCATACTGTTTCGTTATTGAATTATTAAGTTTTTACAAAAGACCAAAAACTAGATTTCATTTTTTTTCTTCTAACTAACAGTAGAATGTTTTAAAAAAAAACACTTTTAATTAGTAGCTTTTTTTCTAGCTCTATCGATTACAAAAGAAATTGATTCAAAAAAATAAAAACGTTATCAGTTCAGGGATCGTATTTTCTGATGGAGTAACAAAGTTTTTGGACCATCCTTGGTAAAAAAAAAAAGAAGTAATTAAATCGTTCAAATTGAATAAGAGATATTTACGTAAACTTTACCAGGATGGTTTTTTGATTCCCTGTATTTATTTCTATTAACTTACATTGGACTAATCTTCATTAAAGGTAATGGACAACATGTAAAAAAAACTGTAAGAAGTAAAAAAAATTTACGTCCCCATATATCTGAATAGGCGCCAAGTAATGGGGAACTTAAAAATGTTAGTAAACCTCTAAAATAAACGAAAAATCATTAACTAAAAAAAAAACTTTAAAGATTGTCTTTTACTTTATTCCATGAATAACACCATTCATTAAAAATGTATGAGATGGAAAAGTTTGATTAAGTATCTAGAATAGAAAAAAACCCATAAACAAATATAATCTATAGATATAATTATATCTTACTGAAATGATAGGATTAGTAAGAAGACCCCAGGCAAAAAATTCAAGAAATATAACAACAAGTCCATGATAAACACTCGGTTTACCAAAACCATTCGGCTAAAAGATGAAACTCAGTATTTTAAGAAAACAAAGGAAAAAAAATAATATTTTAATGAATATATACTTTTATCAAGTTATATCGTGTATGTTCAAATTTAACACGTTTTGTTTCATCATTATCTGGATATTCGTCGACATCAGCATTGTTGACAGAATCTGTCATCGCCGACGACGAAGTACGGCGTAATTTGCTTGACAATATTACTGTCGCCAGAGATTTGTTCAATCATGTACAATAATATAAATGAATGGCATTGGCAATAATCAAAATAATAAAAATTGAATATGTGTGTGTATATGTAGCAATATATTTGTGTATATAAAACGAGAAAAACAATCTACAACCATTTAAATAATTTATGCATTTTCATATGGAAATATATTGTATACAAATATTTAAAAAAATGAAAAGAATTCTTACCAAATTAACATGAATTGTATTATTAATAAATTGAATAAAATTATGATGAGTTTAGATAACAAAATATAACGACGTTTAGTTACATCGAACAAGAAAAAATTGAATAGTACTTGTTTGTTTCTAATTTTTGTTTTTTTGTTATTCTTATTATTTTTAAACTCACATGACTTTTTTCTTATTTAAACAAAAGGTACATACGTCATCAAATACTCAATCAAGCAAATCAATCACTTCGTAGTTGAAATACACTATCATGGACAATGAATACGTAACATGTATCAATTGATGTGTAGACGGGATGAGACGATCTGTAAATAGTATGCAACAAGCGATCTCACATGAAAAGAATCCTCTCTCATATATGAATCATCCAAAATTTTCTTTTCCATTTCTTACATTATGATTGGAGAAATAAATTGACACTCGACTATATTTTATAGAGAATATTATAAAATAATGTAACATCAAATTCAATGTAATAATTTCAATAAATTAATGAGAAAAAAATGATGTCCTTTAGTAAACATAACCAGAATAAGTTCATTTATTTTTTGTTGTTTTGCTTGTTTTCTAAACGGTTTGATATTCAACCAGTCAGATATTAAAATGAATCATCAATGTCAGGTATCATAGTCTGTAATATTGTACGAATCCATTTTTAATTTTCTCTAAAATGCAAACTCATTACATGGCTCGTTTAGCTTCAACACAAAATTTTAATACAATTCGAAGAACATTATCAGGGCGAACATTACCTGGTCTTCGAAAATTAATACAATCTAGTATAAAACAAAATTTTCTATAAATTCAAAATCAAATATTCTTTCGTTTTAAGATTCTCTACAGACGACAACATCTCTTCGTTCATCATATATATTTCGTTATGCATCAACAAATTCATCAAATGATGAACAAAATCGAAATGAAGAGAAAAAAAAGAATATGACAAATTTAATGTATATTGTTGGTGGTTTAACAGGTGTCGTTGCTATTTATTCAATTGTATGTAGTTTGATTTTTTTTTTCGTTGTAAAAAGAACAAACAAAAGAATTTTCTTAGTTTCAAAATCGAAAAAGTTCAAAAGGCAAAAAACAAGCCGTTACAGAATATGATGAAAAACATAAACAATCTCAAGATTCTATTAATAAAATTGATGATTCAAATAAAACACTTGTTGAAAAAGTTCATGATTTACAACAACGAAAATTACTCGGTTTAATTCTTAGAAAATAATGTTTTTAGTAGTTCGTTTTTTCTTTCTGAATATTCTAGCTGAAGAAGAAGATTCAGATAAAATAACAGAAATGAATAAAAATGATTTAACACCAAATATTCCAAATTTTGCTCAATATTTAATTATTGGTGGTGGTGCAACAGCTATGAGTGCATTTAAATCTATACGTGCAAATGATCCAACAGCAAAAGTTTGTTTTAATATTTTATTAATTGAATGATTCATTTGTTTTTTGTTATCATATTTTATTTCATTAGGTTCTTGTTATTAGTTCAGAAAAATATTTACCATATATGCGTCCTCCATTATCAAAAGATATTTGGTATACTGATGATGATGAACTTATACAAAAACATTCATTTAAACAATGGAATGGAAAAGAGAAAAGGTTTTTGTCAATATTTTATTTTATTGCTTTTTAAAATATTACGGTATTTTAGTTTATATTTTAATGATAAAGAATTTTATACAGATGTTAAAATCCTTAATGATCAAGAAAATGGTGGTGTTGCAGTTGTTCTTGGAAGAAAAGTTAGCATTTTAAAATTTATTTTCTTTTCAATTGAAATCTAAATAAAATAGGTTGTTGATCTTGATTTGAAAAATTCTGTAGCAAAATTAGATAATGGTTGGGAAATATCATTTGAAAAATGTTTAATTGCTACGGGTGGTCAACCACAAACGTTAAGAATATTTAAGACAGCATCAAGTTATTTGAAAAGTAAATTGTCACTTTATAGAGGAGTAAGTTCAAAGTTTCAAATAACTTTTATTTCTTCTCTTCGTAAAATGTAAACATGAATAGATTAAATGGTCGTAGTCAATCATTGTTTTTTTTTGCCCGTTCTCTTTTTCTTCTTTCCTTTTTCTTTACATATTCTTCTCATCGTCCTTGTTTTTTCACTATTAAGGAGTCTTCTTCATTTTCTACTCCAGCGCAAATGTAACATAAAAGAACAGAAAACGAAAGAAAAAAAAAAGTATGCATTCACTGATCAATTCGCGAGCATTCATATATAGAATATAGATAAATGTATACAAACGAATATACAACGACGTGCTTTAAGCTTATCGATGACAAATAGTGCTACTTGTTCTGTAATTTTTTTATTCTTTTTGGTGAGTCACAACACATAAATTTACAAATACTCGAAAAATTTAGTCATGCTAAATGATGAAAAACTAAATCCAATTGAATATCATAATGGAAATTTATCGGATGAATATGCAACAAAATTTTCATCGCAAAAACTATTTTTATCTAATACTGAAAATATCTTTCATAATGCATCAACAAATATGAATCTTAATAACAATGTTATTGAGGACCTCGATTTTTATTTAATTAATAATAATGATCATCATTCTGATAGTAGCCATACGTCATCACCATTATCTCAACAACAACATCCACAATTTTATTTTATATTAAATGCATTACCATCATCATCGAGAATAAATGAAGAAACAACAACTTATTTAAATCAAGGTCAACCATATGAAATAAAATTTCAAATAAAAAAAAATAAAACCCAACATCTTACAAGACCGTCTATGGATTATTCATTTTCAACAACTTATCGGTCAATATTACGTTTATGTTTCTGGGATAAAATATTACAAAATCAAGAATATGAATTAATGCAAAAATGGGTAAATGCATATCAATCATCATCATTATTTGATATTGATATGAATTTGACATATGGAATTTTATCAATAATACGTTCAAAACAAATACCAAATGCTATCGAAATTGTCTGGGACGCATCAACAACAACATCATTATTTATACGTTTTAAATGTACATCAACTGATTTTGCACAAAAACGACATGGTGGAGAAAAAGGTATACTATTACGTATACAAATCGATACATATGAAAATTATGTTGATGATATAAGACATTTATATTCATGTTATTGTAAACTTCAATTATTTCGTTTAAAAGGTGCGCAGAGAAAAAATAAAGCAGATAAAATGAGAATTGAAAAATTAAATTTTCATCAACGTCGACAATATCAAACAACACTTGAATATACTATTTTACAACAATGTTCTATTTCATCACTTTATACACTTAATCTTTTAAGTCTTTCTTATCCACCTGATGATTTATTTGATGTTTGTACAACGCCAATAATTCAAGAAAATTTATTAATAGAAAAAAAAGAATCTGATGATTTAGAAAATAATGATCAAAACCATTATCAAAATAATAGTCCTGAAGGTTTATCATCCATGTTATCATCATCTCCATCAAATATGAAACATAATTCTACAGAATTTCATAATTTACAATCAAGAATAGAGACAAAAATTACTATACAATCATCAAATGAACAAGTGTTAAATTGGTTAAATAATAATAATTTTTCTTCTGTTATAAATCGTTTTCAGCACTATAAAGGTGTTGATATTCTTCGATTATCTAAAAATGATATTCGTCAAATATGTAATGATGATAATGCGATAAGCATTCGTCTTTATAATCAATTGAATGAAACTCTTATTCAACCATTAAAAATTCTTTATATTACATTGACAAATAATGATATATATTCAACTATTTATTTACATACATTAACTTGTCATGAATTATTAGAAAAACTTTTTGAACTAATTCAACAACCAAAACAAGAAATTTTTAATATAATACTTGAATTAAATAAAATTAAAATTCGAATAGATAAAGATAATGTTGTTAAATATTCTTTACCAAATGAAAGTCGATTTTATTTAAAAATATATCCTTACGAGTTTAATCTTTGTTTATTAAATATTTCTGTTTAGTTATATTGTTTTTTCTTTTTATTTCCATTTTTTCCATTTCTTACTAGTCAATATATATATATATATAGTGATATTACTCTGTGTTTTCATTTTATATAGATCGACGACTTTTTTACATTGAGAAAAATTGTGGATAGTGGTGCTGATGTAGCAATTGTTGGTGGAGGTTTTCTTGGTAGTGAATTAGCATGTGCTTTAGCATATCGGTCGAAACAAAATGGTAAAAATGGAAAACCAAGTGGAAAAATTACTCAATTAATGCATGAAGCCGGTAAAAAGACAAATAGTTGTGATTTAAGTGGTCAAGTGAAATAGATGAAAGGATCAATAATTGAATTATAATTATTTCATTGCAAAATGATCAGTTTAGGATATTTAATTCATAGTAAAACAATATATTTTTATAGTAATAAAAAATTCAAATTGGTTCAATGAAAAATATAGATTTTATCAATAGAGGTTTTTCGTCCGTATCGAATGGGGCGTAGATGTGAATATGGACTCAAACGAATTTTCATTTCATTCACATCTACACACCCTTATAATCATTGCGTTTAGCTTCAATTTTACAAACAGAAACTTTTCTACTGTCTACATCAGCGCTTCGCGTGGGATGGGACAGGATTGTCTCACTGTACACGCAGCCCTGGTCTGGATGATAAACAGATAAATACATGCTCTACATTATAGTCCATAATGTTTTGCCTTGTCGCATTTTTAATTAACTATTCTCAGTGCATGTAGTATTATGATCATTCATTTCCTATTCATGCTTCTGTTCCATCAATGTTATTAAATGTAGTATTGTTAATCCAATAGTTTGATTTTCTTTTTTGAGAAAGTCTCTCAATTCCATTTATTTTATCACTATCTTTCACAACTTCTTCATCTGACACATCATTTTCATATTGAACAACTTGTACCATGTCTATCTGGTTTTTTACTCGTGGACTATAAGCTGAAGTCGAAGAAAAAGACAGAAACAGAGTACCTACATGTATGTCGTACATAGAATGTGTACTATAATGTACAACTCTAGTCAATATACAGTGTTCAAGGTACCCATATATTAGATCACTTGTTAGGAGAGTCAATTTTCGACTATAAAGTTATCAGTATGATATAAGATCTTGATTGGATACCCTGTTTAGAATTGTTTCAGTACATAAGTACTTACCAGGTACTCATCTAGGAAACTGCTTAGTTTCTATAGCAGTCTATGAAAAATTTTTCAACAAGTTCGTAGATGAAACATTTAGAAACATGTTGTAGTCAAGTGATAACAACTCACAAAGTACCCACACATTCCTATGACATACTGGTGGCAGGGTGTTCTGAACTCAGCACATTCACCAAGGAAACAAGCAGAGAAAAGAAGAAAAAAAAAAGAAATTACATTATAATGCATTTCAAGTTTTATATTTATCGTTTGATTTAATTAACAATTAGGAAATTTTATTTACTGGTCTAGAAACCTATTAACAAATCTGATTCATCACTAACTGACTATTCAAGTAATTTATTGATCATGCATTCAATTTACTGACCAAATATTTTGTTCGGAAGAAGAAAGACATTAAATTTATATATATATATATATATTAATCTTTTATTATTAGGTAGCATTAGTAAAGTATTACCAGAATATTTAAGTAAATGGACATCAGAACGTGTTCGAGAAGGTATTATTCTTGATTCATTTATAATATATATATATATATATATGATTTAACTTTTTTATTTGAATAGAAGGTGCAGAAGTAGTAACAAATGTTGAACTTGTTGGTACATCAATTCAAGAAGGAAAAGTTACTCTATCTTATATTGATCCAAACGAACCAAAAAAAACAAGTTATGTTACTGCTGATCATATTATAGTTGCTGTTGGTATTGAACCAAATACAGATTTCGCAAAATCAGCTGGTTTAGAAATTGATCCAAATCATGGAGGTTTTCTTGTTAATGCTGAATTACAAGCACGTCATAATATTTGGGTTGCTGGTGATGCAGCATCGTTTTATGATATTAAATTAGGTCGACGTCGTGTTGAACATTATGATCATGCAATTGTTAGTGGTAAATTAGCCGGAGAAAATATGACAGGTGCTCATAAACCCTATTGGCATCAATCAATGTTTTGGTCAGATTTGGGACCAAATATTGGTTTTGAAGCTATTGGTTTAACTGATTCAGAATTACAAACTGTTGCTGTTTATGCTAAAGGTAAACCAGATGATGAAATACAAAAAGAAGATAGTGAAGGCAATCGAGAACAACAAGACATAGCACTAACATCAAACGCTAATGCATTAAAACATAATATACCAAAAACAACAGCAGAGAATAAAGATGATTATAATAAAGGTGTTGTATTTTATTTAAAAGAAAATAAAGTTGTTGGTATTGTTCTTTGGAATGTTTTTAATCGAATTCCAATAGCACGAAAGGTAAAAATAAATCTATTATATTAACATCTAAAAATATTGTTTTATTTTTATATAGATTATCAAAGATCAAGAAGTGATTACTAATTTTCAAGAACTTGCGAAACTTTTTAATATTCATCAAGATTAGTTTATTGTGATTTATCTTACAATTTCTTTTTTTTTTCTCTTTTTTTTTCCATATAGACATGCAAGTAACTTTGTATAACCTTTTATCTTTTTCATAAGGTTGTGCTTTTTTTGTGTTAATGATCTGCCATGTTATATTTTAGAAAAGAAAAGCTAGAAATTATATGACATTATTTAACTTTGCAATAGATTAGTATTTCATATCATTGCAATATTTTCTAACTTGACGACTATCTAATACTAGTTTGCTTTTCACATATTACAATAAGAATAAAAATAATGAAGTTTACCGTCTTTGGATAATAAACAATAAAGACAAGTGATGAAGTCTTGTTGAATTGTTTTGTATATGAAAATAATATTTTAAATGATTGATCAATCAAATAATTGTTGATGTTTTTGTATACTTATTTGAAGAATGGTTGCCGGATGAATAGAATAAGTTTTCATACCAAAACGACAAATTTATTCATTAGTATGATAGATTTGTGCTAATTTCAAAAGATCGAATGGTTGTATACTGTTGAATTTATTTTTTGATTTTGAAAATTCATAGTTAACACATATTGACGTAGAAAAATTGGCATACGAGACTACTGACATTGAGAATGCAAACATTGACTAAAAGTGATACTAAAAGTTATGTCAGATAAGAATGATCAACTGAAAAATACACACAAAAAACAGAAACGTTTTATTAACTATAATCAATGCTAAAGTATTTTCGATTCCATTGACTCTTAATAAATAAAAAGAACTTTCTATAATGTCGGCATTCTCAAGAAAAATACTAACGTGATCAATACATCAATAATAACATGAGTACTAAATTTCGGAAAAGGAAAACCATCAATATGATTAATACATATTCTTTTACTAGTGACAATAACTGTTTGATTACACAGATTTTTTCTTAGTACGTATGAAAAACTATAAACTTAACGACGACGTATTGAGAAGATGATGATAATATAAATGCATAAAAACAAACATTGATAATGGCCATAAATGAACGGATACGATATGAATTAGTTTAACAACAAGAAACCAGCAGAGAAGTATTTCAAGTTCAAAAATTATTCAATAAATTTTTTGTTGAGAAAGTTTTTAAAATTATATTAATGTTTGATATCTAACTGGAAATTTTGCTCATTGATTTTCACTAAAGATAAAATTAAAAGATATTTGACAATAAGAAATGGTCAAGAAGTTTTTCAGATATAATATCAACTGTTAAACATATTCAATGGAAAACAATAATAAAATCATGAAGCTTGGTGCACTGCATTAACTTTATCTATTGATACATAGTTATCTTTAACAACAGAAAGATATTCGTTCTTCTATGTCTCATGAAATCATGTTATCTTTGGATAGAACATTTTCTTATATTCAATATATTTTAACCTATTTTTTGTTTTATCAATTTCACATTGATCAAACGTAAAAAACACAACTACATAATAATTCAAAATTTTCACATGTTCGTGTAGATAGACGAAACGTTTGTTTAATGACAAGAAAAACTCTCTGGTTGGTTATTATATGAGTCTGTTATGCGCAGGTTGAATTGATTATTTAATATTTTCCAAGAGGGAAAGTTCAATGAACCTGTCGTACTGACCATAACTTTTTCAGTTGTGACGAATCAAATAGAAATAACTATATACGATTATTCGTTGTATCAACTGCATACAAGTTATCCATAAGATTAAATTCTAAACTCAGCAGTTGATTCAATCGTATTTTTGAACTATCATTTCTTTCCTTGGCACTTACAGCGAGAAATGTCTAACTATTAGTATCTAATATCGAACAAGCAACACTGTACGTACAACAATTGACATTTATGACACTGTTTGACGTTGAATTAAAAGTAAAATCATAAGGAAACGATAATTCTCTTATGTCAGATCCTTGTCCATTATAATTAGCAACAACCATTCCGATGAGAGGTCAGATAAATACAATATTATTCAGTGATGAAATGTGTCTATTATATAAATAGTATCGGCATTTGAATCATGTACAAAACCAAATAGAAAGAAATATTGATTATTTTCGCTTATCTAAGTGTTCAAAAATATCAACACACTAATACGAAGCTTTTAAAGAAGTAGTATCAAACTATTCTCTTTCTTACATTGATTGATAGTCTAGCATGCGAAATCCAGTCTCAATGTCTCTTCAACAAGTGTAAACTGTAGTTAAGATACAAATAAGTTAAGTTTCTATTGTATTTCGACGAGATCTCATCTTTGTTTCTTTAGTAAATTAAATCAGAAGAAATGAGTATGATTTAAATTCAAGAAAGGAATGTATTTACATCTAATTACAATCTGTATCATATTCACATTTCTATTTTTCCGAGTAAAAGCTTCTTTATTTTCCACTAAAATCAAGCAATTAACTATTAGAAAACTTTTGTTCTGTTCACCGCTCCAGTTTTTTTGGACTATTGTGCCGAATGATGCGTCATTTCTTCAATCCATAATTCGATAATTGTTTCTAAATGTGAAGCACAAAATCAAACTGTAAGATAGTTTAATCAACTTGCAGCTATGTTCGATAAATCTCCAGCACTACCACTAGCAGTTGTAACAATTAAGTTTCAAAGAAACATAACAGTATTATCGTTTTTAATAAATAGCATATATTACAGATGATAAACAATTCGAATTAAGAATAAAAAAGCAAAACTTCAAGAACACATACTTCATTCGTACTTTACTGTGTTTCATTTGCACTTCAAATCCAAAGGCTACAACATATCAATTACAACAAAATTGAAGGCATTCATAGTTTGGTGTGCGACAGGTCGTAGCTCAATGGTTTCTAAGAGTCGAATCAAACAACAAATGACTAGTTTTTTTGATATGTGATAAACTATTGAATACTCCATTTATGCTGTCAAATTTCTTTATAGGTGCTCAATTTTAGGTCATGTTAGCTAAGTTACGCACATGAGCTGAAATGAAATAGTCACTAAATTTATTGAAAAGAATAAAATCAAGTTTTCAGAAATCTCAGTTCATATGAAAAGAACTGGATGGTCGATATGGATCTGATAAACTTATTCGCTGTATATTTTATTTTATCACTCGAACAGATTTATAGATTTTTTCTTTGACATATGTCAGACTCTTCTATATAATAACTCTTAGTACTTACTTTATTATTCTTATCATCACATAAGTCAAAAACAGTAAAGTTAGTTAGAAGATGAATTTTGCCTGGTTATAATGATGACTACACCTATTTGTCGATTGAATTAATTTACTATACATTAAATTATCTTCAAACTCGATATATCTTTCGTTTATTAAAGAATGTATGTCGTTCGAAGGAGAAAAAGCGAGATTCTCACTTTTTCTTGTTGATGTCGTTGCACTTGTTTTTTTTACATTTTTGGATCTTAAAAAATGAAATCTCCCATCGAAAAATTTGCTATTATCAAATGACCTTATTAAAAACAATACAACTTCACGTTTTGACTTCGAAAACGAATCGATAAAGAAGAAGGAACAATGTGAAATACAATCAAGATGAACTGTTTTCATTAAATTAAAATAAAATAGAATGCTGAAATAATATTAATTTGTCAACTATCTGTTTGTACCTTGGTTTCAATCAATAATACTTGTTACAGTGTATTCTCATAACATATACCTCGATCCTCTCTATTCTCTTCTCTTTGATATTTTCGTTTCTGTCTTTTCCTTTCTTTAACTTCTTTTCTTTGCCCTTGATTAACCTTTGTCTTCTTTTCTATTTTGTCCATGTTTTTCATGTGCGTATATAAACTCTTGTTTTGTAAAAGAATAAACAGAGAGAATAAAACACACACACACACGTTAACTGTGTTCGTCGCTCTTTGTGAGCGCGAACGTTAACAATACTATTATTCAATTCATTTGTTTAGCAATAAATATTTTATTCAAAATCTTTACAGTCATTTATTTCGTTTCAAATTGAGACGGAATTTCAATAATTTTAAAGGAAAGAGAAAGAGGCTCGATTATGTATAACGTCATTTAATTTTTTCATTAATTAATTTTTCACTTTCATTCCAACATTCTTCAGCTCGATGATTATCTAATGCTAATTGACTTGGTTTTCTAACTTGACAATTTGAATGAAAATAACCAGGTTTAGCATCATCGGATAGTGCACAATAAAGAGAAGTCATAGAACCTTGTTCTACAGTTTTGCCAACTACAGAAATTAATTGAAGAATAATTTGTTCTATGAAATTTTTGCTTTGATTCAAATTTGTGTTTATAATCGTACCAGGATGTAATGAATAAGCTTTAATACCACAACGACGTGTTAATTCACTAGCATGATAGATTTGTGCTAATTTTGATATTGCATATGCTTCGGAAGTACTATATTTGTTTTTTAATTTTGAAAATTTATAATCAATGCCTGTTTTTGGAACTATATGATGAACTAAACTACTAACATTGATAACGCGACCATCCGTAAGTAGAGGTAATAAGAGTTGAGTCAAATAAAAATGACCAACTGAAAAAATCAAAACAAAAAAAAGTAGGAATAGTTCTATTCAAAAAAAAAATAGACACGTTTTACTGACTATGATTTGTACCGAACTGTTTTTCAATTCCATCAACTGTTACTGAATATGTTTTTTGTAAAGCACCAGCATTGTTTAGTAAAATGTCAACACGTTCAATTTTTTCGGCAAATCTTTTCACATTTGCTAAACTTGATAAATCAAGATCATATCCAATAACTGTTCCACCATTTGATTCTTTACATAATTCTTTTGCTATTCGTTCTGCACGTTCTTCACCTCTAACACCAATAATAACACGAGCACCAAGTTTTGCAAATCGAATTGCACAAACACGACCAATACCTGTTGCTGCACCAGTAACAATAACAGTTTTATTACGTATATTCTTCGTTGGTAAATAATAACGACCGGAAGCTAAACTATGATTAATTAAAAAGACAATAATAATATAAAAACATGACCAAAATGTTGTTAATGGCCATGAATGAATAATAAGACGAATAATAATCGAACAAATTAAATTACCAATTAGAAAAATCGATGAATGAATTTCAGGTTCAAAAAATATCGGATGCAATTTCATATTATTGCTGATGTTAATAAAATAATTTGTGTATATGTTCTCTAAATACAGGTGTACTTTATCTTCTATTCGTTTGCTTTACTCAAAAGTAATAATAATAGTCTGTGTCTTATCATGAAACTTTACTTAGCTATGAAATGTGCTTTTGTTTCATTAAATAGTAACCTGTAGGTGAGATATAAGAAAAAAAAATTAATAACGAGATACTTTCTGTAGCAAACTTTCTCTTGCTTAAATGTTGATAAACATTCCATAAGTTCTAAATCTGTTAAAAATAAACGAAATAACTCGAAGCAAAAAAAAAAAAAAACAGGAATATATCTGTTTTATTCAAACAAAAAAGAAAATTCATATTTAACATAATCTAGGAAGTGTAAGGACTTCTATTACTTAATTTCATACAAATACACATTCTTAATATACACAAAAAAAGTTTTGAGAATAATTGAAAGACAATTTTTTGTTTTCATAAATCTTCCTTAAATATTACATGTCTAAACGAAATACAAAATAATTTTATTATTTGATTATTAAAATATAAAAAATCATACTTCAGTGTTGATATCAATTTTGGTGCTTGATAAATAAGTTTATGTCCATAACCAGCACGATGATATGAAATCATATCAATATTAAAATGAAACAATTTTTTCTTTTATCTATGATGATTATGAGCATTTATACCAGCTTGTAATAATTGTTTTGAATGTATTATGGTATTATTAAATCATCATCTGCATGTATTAATATACATGGACAATTAATATTTGATAAATAATCAGATGTATCAAATGAAAGATTATTCGTACGTAATGCTTTTTCAGTTAAACTATAATACCATGGTAGCCAACGAAAAAACTAAATTAACTTAATTCAAAAGCAAAGGAAATAGAAAAGGATTTGGTTACTGCGGAAAACCAATGAATTAATAAAGCTTGATAAATATTAATAAATGAAGCTTCCATTACAATTCCTGCCAAACTTTTATCTAAAGAAAATAAACATTCAAGTTGAATACTAAAGAGTATTTAAAGAAAAAAGTTAGCAGCTTAATGTCTGTAGGGTAAAAATGTGAAACAAGATGAAACTGTTAGCATTATAAAAGAAACCGACATTTTCAAGCGCAATGGAATTTCATTTTTTACATTGTAGCATCTAGTTCTCTTCAATAATAGAAGGAATCCATGTTGCACGTTTGTTCGCATTACTGTCTGTATATCGCGGTACTCGTAGGATCAGACGCATCAACATTATCAGAATACATAGAAAAAGACTCAATTCTGTCAGCTTTAACAGACTTGAAAAATATTCATTCGTTTTGATATAATAAATCAAGATGCAACACTTCGAAAAATAAAACCGTCGATATAGCGGACGTTGTACGGATTCATATATTGGAGGATAGTTTCTCGGTAGTTATCACACAGAGAATATTTTGAAACTTTTTAATAAATAGAAACCGTTTAGATCTACTATTAGAAAAAAACCTCATAAATTTTCCTTCAGCTGAGCTCAGCTATTTAGAAAACATCAGCCGTTATAAAATTTCAAAAACAAAATTGAATTTTCTACCAGTATTTTTTAACACTCCTATTAGATCATGTTTCATAAAAATCGTACTTTCATCAGCGGACAACTGTGCTGCTAATTGACAAGCAACAGCTGAACCAAGTGAATGACCCCACAAATAAATTGTTCGTTGACCATTAGTTAATGTATGTAGCCAGTCATAAATGAATCGAGCATCTCTAACTAAACCTCTTTCTGTCGGTTCACCAGTTGAATCTCCAAAGCCACGATAATCAAATATAATAACATCATATTTTAATTCATCACGTAATTTTTTACACAATTCACGGCGATTTGTTAATGAACTAAATTTAAAAAAATATTCAGAGAAATAAATAAAAACTATTCATTTAATATATACCGATCAAAAGCATTATCATGAAAATAAATTATAATTGAAATACTCGACGATGTTGAAACAAGATGTTGTTGAAAATAATCTTCATCATTACTGAAAAATTGATCTTCAACTAAAGGTGAACGAAAATGCCTAAAAATAAAATATAATACTACAATAATCTCTTTCATATTTGACTAACAAACCATATGCCAAGAGATACTTCTGGTTAAACATTCAAATAAAAGTTATACACATGATTGATACCAAATGTTTCTAGTTGTGTAATGTTTGTACTTGTTTTCACTAATTATATATACAGTATTGGTCAAAAATGTAAGACTAACGTATTTTTTATTTTTCTCCACAATACCAAGCATTCAACTAAAATTCAAATAGAGATTTGAATAACTAATGAAGTTCTCGAACGAATACATTCCGCATCGAAACTTCATTATTGGATTATGAGAGGAAGGTTTCTGAGAAATAGGGATGCAATGGCGATGAACAGTGCCACCGTAGATCGATACACAAGTAGAATAACGATGAAGACGATGATCTTAGATTCATTTCGAGTGTTTCAATTGACGGAGATTTATTTCAAGAAAATAGCTGAATTTGATAACATATGACTAACTCTTACTCAAACGAGAATTTCAAAGAACTTCTGATCGATTCGGATTCGTGGAACCTAACAGCCTTTAGTCTATTTTTATAAAAATTCAACTATTTTCTTGAAATGACCTACCCGACAGAAAAAATCGAAATCAATCAAAGATCATCATAATTCTATAATGCATTTACAGTTTTGACCGTTGGTCTATACGTCTATGTTTATACTAGTGCAAAATAGTACGTAAGACTTGCGCACCGACAACGTTATAACCTTACTGAAAAATCAAACAAGGTCATTTTCAGATTCATGAAGATTATGTGAAAATTAATTTTTAAGAATAACATGTTAAATAACACAAAATCTTAAATAAAATAAGGAGTCACTTGGATTTCTTCGACCCATTCTTAAAAACTTATAAGTATTATAAAGCGAAATTCATCCTGACACTGCTAAAAAAAAAAATGCATTTTTTGTTTTTTGTGATGCTTATAACTTTTTAAGAAGATATTGTAGGAAATTTGACAACCCTTCATTTTGTTCGGAATTTTGTGCTTTTTAAGATGGTAGCCTTAAAAATTGATTTTTACAAAATCTTTTGGGACCTGAAAACTATGCTGTGTGGCTTTTTTTACAAGCTTTCTCTTAATAATCTAGGGTACGAAATCTCAATATGTAACGCATTTGATAGAGAACTTCATTGGCTATTCAAACGATTATTTGAATTCTAGTTAAATGCGTGCTATCGTAGCAAAAGGAAAATCAAATCTACATTTGTCTTATATTTTTGACCAATACTGTATATGAAGTTAATATTGACTAATTTGAATAAATTAACTTACTCAAATTCATCAAGACAATATGTTTAACAACAGTTGGATAAATAAGAATAATAATTGATACAAAAATATAGAAACTCACAAATATAATTCCTAGTTAAATCATTATTCAACTATTTCAAAATATAATACCATAACTATTTTATTTAGAATAATCTTCATTTACTTACGAAACTTTTCGCTATTGGTAAGACACATCAACGATCACTTTTTATTCGCAAAAAAATTGTTTTTGTTTATTTTAAAAATAATAAAACTTGTTTCAATCTGCAAAAAAATATTCATTTATTTCTATGAAAATCACGCAAAACAAGAAAAAAGAATAATCGACTATAAAAAATAAAATAGACGTTTAAACGACTGTTATATCACTTGCAAAAAGAAAGAAAATTATTAAAAAAATATTAATCACCGTACAATTTAATTTATGCTGGAGGTGCATGTTTGAGGAATGCAAAATCACTAAAAACAAATAAATTAAATCGAACAAAAACAATGAATTCATTATATTTACGTAACAATTTCTTCAAATTTTGGATATGAATATATATGATTATGACCGCAACCTGCTGAACGTGGAACTGTAATATAACGTATTGGAGGTAAATTAGGATCACGATGTTCTTTTACATAATCTTGAATCTAAAAAACCATATTTAACTAAATACATATGTAGATTATGATTAACTTACTAATTCTAAATGAAAATATGGAATAATAGCATCATCTTCAGCATGTATTATAACAATTGGTAATGGAAGAAATGGAATACTAAATTGAATTGAAATAATAGTTTTATGTTTAAAATTGAAATTTTTTTACATTTCATTATTTGGAAAATCGAGTTCTACTGTTGTAAAAGCATCAAGTGCTGCTTGCATAAAATATGGATTAATTTTTAATATCTATAAATCAAAATGATTTCTAACAAAATAAATAAAAATAAACATACTCGTGTAATTGGATATGAAACAAATGCTTGCATTGTATTGTAAAATGGTGCTTCCAGANGTATGCATGGTTTTTTAAAATCTATATGTATTTAAAAAAGTATATATATATATATATATAATATTCAAATAAACTTATATATTTTGATACCAGTATGATTTTTAAATAAGTAATTCATTGTCAATAATGCAACACCTGTACCCATTGAATGGCCCCATATTGTTATTGGATTATCTGGACAAACTTGTCGAATTAATTTAAATACATGTAATACATCATGAACAACACCATGCATACTTGGTATACCAGTTGAATCACCATAACCACGATAGTCAAGTGCAATTATATGATTACCAAAATTAGTCATCATTCGATAATGATTTGCTCGATAATGTGTTGCTCTAAAAATTTGTTTTATAAATATTTTTTGTAATTTTATTCTTATCATTATATTACCTTGTTCCATCTTGTCCATGTAAATACATAATTATTGGTTGATCAGTAGATTTTACATATGCCTTTAGATGATCAACAAGTGTTGGTAGACTATGATTAACTTCAACTGTTGATGGTAATACATACCTGAAAAGAAAAAACAAATTTGAAGTTTTTCAAATTAGTTCCATGAAATAGTTATTAATTAGTATACAGTAAAACCTCTCCATTTTGAGGAAATACCAGGCAGTATATATTCTGCCTAAGTGAAATTTGGTGAGAATGCACCTCCTTATTTTGAGCAGTTAGCTCTTACTTCTGCTACCATGAGCAAAAACAACTTCTCGAATGTGAACAACCTATGTTCTGTCACTCACGTGTAAAACGAAAAAGGAATTATGACATGTGTATTGCGTTATGATAAACAACCACGGAATACATGGGAGACGAGGATGGATTAGTTGTAAATATTTAAAAGAAGAAAAACGATATCATTCAATAGCAATAGTATTTGGTGTAACATTGCGGCAGTTTTATGTTAACAATTAGTAATATAAAATTGTGTCACCATGAANTGCTTTCTGTCGCGATAAATTTGAAAATATAGATTTCGTTCAATCAGCTGATCGAAGTCTGAAAAGATTTGGAAAGTAATCATCACAAAATTCATTCCTAAGAGAACTCTATTAACACGTAACAGTATGTCTCTAATGAAGTCTATGATTGATTACTGAATTCTCTTTTTTATTCATTATCTATCATAAACTGTATTATCTCTCAGCAAAGAAAGTGGCAGCAAACTTTTGTTACTGTCTTCGTTTTAATTACTTCGAAGCTTGAAAGAAGCTATGTAAGTTCATAAAGTTTAATTGACTTTTTTAGACTCATAGTAGTAATGAATCTTATCAATGAATAACCATGAAAAATTTCAACTTTTTCAATATTTATCTTGACAATTATATCGTAGAGAAAATGAATAAAACAACATTTTTATTTTTTCCTACAATCAACGTTTTATTTGATGTATAAAAGCAAAAAATATTTATATTAGTTACATTAAAAACTGCTCTAATTTCTTCTACACAACCGCCGTCTTATGAATTCATTATGACATTATTTGTATATGAATTCACTAGAATTAATCATACAATTATAGTTCTTAATGACAGCCGATACTAACAATTAACAATTGAGACTTTTATATTATCGAATAACAATATTGTTATATGAAAGACTCTGTGACTCTTCAATGTAGATTATATGTTATTTATGATTGCTATATCAAATTGACATCAAAGCTAATAATAAACATGATAATAATTATTTGTCACATTTTTTAATTATCATGACAGAAAATAATAGTAGACAGGTCATAGGAATTGTTACAGATAAGATAAAGTCTATAAACAATCTATTAATTAACTCGATCTCTTTTCATATTATTCAATACAAGTACATTATACTTAGAACAACCCTAAAGTAGTGACCGAGATATTTTACTTTCTTATCAAAAGTCTAAAGAAATTTTCTGTTTATATATTATGATAGTAAAAACTATGGTCTATTTTTTTTTCTTCTCTCTTTTTTTGATTCTTTTCAGGCATCCCTGGAAATATTTAACCGTCTGTAGGTATAAAGATGTACAAAGACGTACGTCTTGTTTATTTTGTTTGCATCCGTAGTTTATTAGCGTGTTCTCAAAAAAGTTAAAGAAATAAATTTACGTTATACTTTGACTCTACTCGTTCCTGTTTTAGATATATAAGAAAAATTTTCGCCTCTACATGAAAGTGTGCATTGCACTTAATATTCAAGCAAGAATTACATTCTGTTTGTGATGACGAAGCTCCTTTTCTTAGGTCACTTGAAAGATGGTCTAAATGGTTGAAATTGTATTATTATGATATTGATTGAAGAACAATCAAATATGATAGCAAAATAGAACATTGTTTTTATTATCCGACTATATAGATAGAAAGTTTCTTTAAGGTTTTCTTAATAAGAAATTGAAATATTTCCGTTACTATTTTTGGATGGTCGAAAGTAGTTTTTCAAGAATTATGAAAATATTAATTGTGTCCTAACAGTGATAAATATTCATTTAATTTGTATGCTAGAGCTTTTTATTTTATTTATTCGTATGATTACAGAAATTAGACTCTAAATCATGTTTTTTTTAATCTCTTTTGCATTTTACATTTCATTAAGAGAAAAGTAGGTTAAATCAGCTTAGTAGTATAGTAGTTCATTAGCAGGGTGGTGCAAAAACCATTTGCTTGATTATCTGTGACATGGAACTAATACGTAGGTAAAGTATTGAACCTTTAGATTCTGACTCGAGAGTTAGATAAAGATGCCATTTCACCAGGCTATATTAAATATCCATCTGCTTTGACTAATATTTATGTGAAAATTTCATGCACAATTATATTCATATAATTGATTATCTGTATCCTTTAGGGTTCCAGAAAAAGTTATTTATTAAAACTTAAAATAGATTTAATAGCACTTTGAAAATGAAAATTGTTCTATATTATTCATAAATTCGTACTGCTCTACAATTACTAAATTACTTTGACAAAGCAAAATCGTATATGAAAGATTTATTGAGTAATATAATCAACATGAAATTTACAAGAGGCTTTGTTTTCTTACGATGATGAAGAAGATGAAAGAAAAGAAAATTATACTCTACTTTTTAAAAATTTCTATCAACATTAATACAAGTCTTCTGAATAGTTTGTATCAATTGACACTTCTTTGTGTAATATCTCAATAAACTTTGTCATGTGAATAAAGCTTTGAAGTGAATTGACATTATACTTTAGTTATTAATATTTTATATTATTTTTAATTGTCGTAGAAAATTGAATGCAGTTAATGAATAGACGCAAAACAATATTTTTTACCATGATGACCGGAAAGTTTTTTAGAACATTTAATAAAAGATAAAGTTTTCTTACAATATTTATTTGAATTTTTTTTTTGTAAATAGTAAAAGTGATCTCCTTTTTCTTCAAATAGTATCAAATGATTCAAGAATGAATATAATTGCCTATATTTCTTATTAATCCCCAAGGTTTACTATACCTTTATCATGTACGATTTATTTTTCAAATTATTGCTTGAAGAGAGAGTACTTATCATAAACCGTCAGGTAAGACAATTCTCTCTAATTAGATGTTGATTCATATCTTATAATGTAGAAATTTAATTAAAAAATAACGTATTTACAAATTGTAAATCTATTTTTGGATGTTTTGCATTTGTTCATATCTTAAATAATGTGTTTTTTTTTTGGTATATTTTTATGGATTATGTCTCATGAATATTCAGAAAGTCTATATAGTTTCATTTGTATAAATACAACAGAAAAAGAATGAAGATTTTGAATTGTTCTATGATGATTATAATAAACTTGACAATTTCACAATTGAGATATAGTTGATACGGAAATAATGTCGAAATATGTTACACAGTATATTTTAATGAGTCATCATAAATATATATTGTTTGACTTATAATTTTCTAGTTTTTTTTCTTTCTTCTTGTGCTCCATATGCTTTCCTCCTTGTCTGTCTTCGAGCTGTTCACTACGTATTCACACTTCTTCAAATTATTCTCTTTTCTTGATCTACTCTTTGTTGTTTTATTAAAATTGTACCGTGTTTAGAAGTTGAGTAAGTAAAATAAATGATCTTTTTTACTCCTAATTATGCACATTTTTCATTTAAACAAAACAAAACAAAAGAAGGCTTATGACTTATCTTTTTATTTGCCTTCTCTCTTCATATACAATAAAAACATCCTCTATTTTTTCAATCAAATCAATATTTTTTCAATTGACTAAATTCGTTCATCTTCTAAATCTGATAAAAATTCCTTTTTACGAATACCTCAAAAAATTCAAATTATTAAAATTTATATCATATATAAAATAATTCCAGAAATATTTTATAATTTCGTTGAATATTAAATATGAAAATCTTGAGATATTAATAAAGTCAGATAATCTTTTCTAGGTTTATCTGTCATGAAAACAAAAATAAGCTAAAAACCATGCTTTTTGAACATTTCATGCTTCTCATTATTAATGATTATTTATTAAACTTGTCAGAAATAAGCACTTGCTTTTATTTTTCTTGGTCTTGATGAACTTTTTTAGTCCTATTACATGTCCATACAAAGTAAAAAATGAATCCTGATAATTTATTTCATTTTATCTATAATCTGCTTTAGCAGACAATTGAAATATGAAAAACAAAACAAATTAAAAGAAAATAGTAGGCTTCATTTTTTACTTTGGAAAAATATAAGAAATAATGACTTCATCATTCTTGCTGATTTTAGTAGAGAAAAACAAGACGTGTCAATCAATACATAATGAGGCATTCATAGTATAGATTGTAATTATAATATTCCATGTCATAAAGATAAAAGGAAACTTTATGCTCTCGCTTTGTCAAAAAAAAAAAATAATCTTTCTATTATTTTCTGTTCTTTTTATATTCAGAAATAATTTTTCAATGATGATATAAAGCTTCTACTCTAGAATAAACAAATATGCTTTTTCAAAAATAGTATATATTAAGCATTTTTAGAAAAAAAATTACATCTTGTTATTCATAAAAAAACTTTTTAGATTATTTTGTAACAAAGAATTGATGCAGAATAAAGTACGGAATTGAAAAGTATTTTTTCTTGATGAGAAGGTCCATTAATAACAATCATTTAAAATTGTCAAATGATATTTAATTTTATATTTCTGGATATGAATAGATTTCTATGAGATTAACAAAAGTCAACCTAGTCTTCAGTTTATAATCTTTTTATAATGAGATATAGTGTTTTAAATTTATATCTAGTGAGTATCGAATCATTGCAGACAAATTACATATTGAGAATTTGAGAGCTTTGTTAAAACTAGAGAAAGAAAGACTTGTATTATAAAATATATTATATCGAAGTTCGTTGAATACTTTATTTATTCTAATGTTAACATAGTTATTGTCAAATGTGAAAGTAAAATACTACATGTCATTTGATTTCCTGAATAACTAACGAGAATATTCCTTGCATTTTAGTATGTTAGAAGAATTTTTTCGTATGTCATCAATGGATATAGCGAAAAATGCTACTAATTCTTATCCATTATGGTATTTTTTAAATGATTCACTTATGATTATTGGTAATATTATTGGTATATTTTTTGCATTTATTTTTATATTTACAATTATTCGTCTTGATCATCCATCTTATTCAATTTCAAATTTAATCGCATGTAATACTTGTTTAGCCGTAGGATTGACTAGTACAATTATGTTAATAAATGCTTGTTATGCATTAACAAGTGATTTTCGTGGAATTGGTTATGTAGATTCATTTTGTACTTTACGTGGAACACTTCTAACATTATTATATATATATATGTATACATCATTTTGTTTAAAAGCATTTAATCGACTTCGATGTATCGTTTATTATACAAATCCACTATTAACATCATATCGATGTTTATTAATTGTAATTTTATTTCAATGGTTATTAACAATATTATTATTTTTAGTAATAATATTAACAGATGGAATTGATTATGATTGGGGATCACATTTATGTTTCATACCAATAACAAAAACTTATCAATTTATATACATGAGTATGTATTAAAAAAACATTTTCAATTTTTTTTTCTATTTGATTTATATTTAACATAAAATAATTTTTAGTGATTATTTATTATATTTCTATGTTATTTATATCGAGTATTTATATTTACATTCTTTATTATGTTTTACATTTACCATTATTAGAACGATATCGTCGAAAGCGTCAATTAGCACTTCTGAGACGAATTCTTGTTCTTCTTACAATGCTTATTATACCCGGTTTGTTATCATCGTTTTTACTTGTTCGTTGGATTTTTTTTGGCACAATTCCATTTTATTCATTTAAAATTAGTACTTTATTTGACACATTTGGACATACTGGTGCAGTTATAACAATATTTGTATCGCATACAAAAATTCGCCGTCAATATTATAGACGAAAACCTATTAGAATTAATAAAGTGATAAAAAAAGTTCAACAAGAAAATTGTGAATTAATTTCATTAAAACTTCAACGAAATTAAAAACAATAAAAATTGCATGTATTTAAGAATTATTCTCAAAAAATTAAAAATAACAACAAAAATTTTGTCTTGTTTCTATATGCTTTCCTTTCGTCTTTTTTTTTGTATATATATATGTCAGAAAATAAATGTATAATGTTTTAAATATGTTAATTTGACATGAAATATTTTTTTTTTCTTATTCTTCTTATGATAAAAATGATTAAGGTAATAATTAAGTATACTTGCGTGAATTTATCAATCAAATATTGAGATACATATGTCTAGTTAGATAACATCATTTTCTTTGAATCATATTTATCATGAATAGACTTGTTCACAAATTGATAAGTATAACTATGAATACTTGTCAGACAAATCAAGGATAGCAAAATAAGCTTATGCGTAGGTTATATCATGTCATCAATCTTGTTAACTAATATAAAAAGAGAAAATACATTGTCGTCATTATTCTATGTTGATTGTTTTTTTTTTTCTAGAATTATTTTCGATATAATATAACTTACATATGTTTCATAAAAATATCAATAATTTCCTTCTGATAGTTTGTTATTTATTATCAAAATAACAAAAAAAAAGAAATAGAAATCAGAACGTTTTTTTTTATATGATATCTTTACTTATCATGATAACGTTGCTTAATAGCTTGAAGGTATTTGATCGATGAATAATATAGAAAAATGTATAGAAAAAAAAAACAAGGTAATAGATATATAATTCAATGAACATTGGACCAAACCAGAAAAAAAAACCATTTTTCATACTCATCAGAGGCGTTTATGACAGGTGATCATTTGTATATTTAGGCATATTAATGCAAATGAAGAAAAATGCTTTACTTCTTCATCTACTTTCTGTATTCTTGTATGCTAAACTAATATTGATATTTTTGCAGCTATGTATATAGGCAAACACGCATTTGCATGTCGTTGCATCGTTGCTTTTTCGTGCTTAGACAGGTTCCAGTTCTTTTCTTTCTCTACTACTTTTGTACATCAACATGACAAGTAACAAGTCTCTATCTATTTATTTCTGCTTTCTTTTTGCCTTCCTTGTTGTTTTCCTTGACAATTGTTCTGTGAGTATAGATTATCAATAGTAGAAGTTCTTCTTTCACATACATAGGCAATGATAGGATAAGTATAAAGAAAAAAGCAGACAAGCGACAAGCTCAGCGTACCCTCTCTCTTTTATGTGTTGTCTTATTTCGCGAATATTTTGGATGATATTATAGATATGCGACTCTCTCTCTCTGTCTTTCTTTCTCTTTCTAATGTCGTCAAAATCCCGTCTACACTTTATTTAATATCACTACATGTCATTCATTGTATCATAACAGTAGTGATAATATTTGCGATGATGAGGATCAAAATGATTTGTTTTTTGTTATCAAAATTAATATAATCTATAGACTCTTGATGTATTTATAATAAAAGGAAATTAATGCTGGCATAAAAAGATGTTGTAACCTGCGTACCGGTGAGACATGTGCGTTTTTCTTTTCAAACAATTGTATATACTTTCTTCGTCTTTTTCCTTTCGATTTTTATTCAATAATTCTTTCTTTTTTAATTTCTCGTCATCATTATTTTCAACAAATAGAGATGCTGATTTTTAATATCGAAGAAGTGCATAAAGTAAGAGAACAAAGAAAGATTAAACATACTTATCATTTATATATAAATAGATTTTAGTTAGAAGAAAAAAGTAAACTTAAAAAAACCTAAGAACAAAATATCATTTTTAAATCTTCCTATTTTTAGTTTCTTTTATTACGATATTTGTGTTTTCCGCATCGAATGTATGTTTATAATAAGAAAGAAAAGAAAAAAAGAATTTGATTGAAATATTTTTTAGAGCTTCAATATTAAAATCGAATTCTTTTTTCTTTTTTTTTTTTTTTCATCTGATTTTTTTTTTCTTACTGACTATACAGTATTGAGAGAACACGTCTGTTGTGTTGTCGACAAAAACACATACCTATTTTATATACTGTTTCAGAGAATCATCATCAGCATCTGTAATGCTCGTCGTCGTCGATGCTTTACCATGTTATTCGTCGACCTCCAAATAATAATACAAATTTTTCAAATAAATCTACAAGTAACCATAAAAGTAGATCACTGTTAAAATTAATGCCACGTTATCATTACTCAAGAATAGCTCCACATAGTGCCACAACTAGTTCAGAATCATTTTTTCCACGTCAAAATTCAAATTTATACTCGTCAAAACCCACAGTTACAACGACGGCGACGAGCAATAACAATAATTATAATTACTCGCCTGGGCTTTTTAAATCAACATTCATTCCGCTTGTCACAAATACTCGAACAATGACACCACACAAGCGTGAATTTATTCAGATTCCAATAACAAGAGAGGATGGAACATCAACGACCAATAATTCTATTCATTCTATACCAGTTACTTTTATCAGTGAAACAACTGCACTATCATCTGCAACCAATGATAATAGTAGCAAAACAAGTACTAAACCACATTATACTAGTTAGTATTCGTAATATATTGATGGACTCATGAATTATTTTTCTATTCTTTTCTTTTCTTATTTATTATTAATTAATTTCTTTTCTTTAAAGATCTTTTACGGCCTAGTTCAAGATATTATCAGCATCATTCTAATAATAATAGTGAAGAATCAGAAACTACTGTGCCTCGTTTACCGTCTGTTTCACGTCGTTTTAATCTAGCAATACCAGTAATGACAACAACAACAACAGCAGCAGCGGCAACAACAGCGGCAACAACAACAGCAGCAGCAGCAACAGCAACAGCAACAACAACAACAAATGATGATGATGATGACAATACTATCAAACAAAATATATCACCATCTTCTACTCGTCGAATTCCTATTCGCTTTGCCCCAACACCAAATGTTGCATCCATACCAACAAATAGTTCTCGTATATCAAGTGCTATTCTTCGTTCATCACCATTATCAAATCCATTGAACAATCAATTACAACGTCAAAAAACGGATTTAACCGATACAACATCATCATCTTCAGATTTAAATGGTATAGTATCGAATACATCACATGTACGTCGAGCTGAAGTTATGGCTCGTGAAGCAATTCAAGGTATTGTTCGTTTTCAACAACAACAACAACAACAAGCAAATAGTTCCATACCTGAAAACAATAATAATACATTAATTCGATCGCCTGCATTATCACGTCGTGTTATTGTCAATTTAAAAAATAATCAATCGGTTTCACTTGATAGTCGTTTATTATCAGCACATACATCATCAACAAAATCACCATTAATTTCTTCCTCTTCACGTCTAATTCAACGAAATAATCTTTATCATATACCTGTTTTACATGAATTTCAAATGCCATCGCATCCAACAACAATAGTAGATGAAACTTCTCTTCATTTATCGCATTCTCCTTCGACTAGTAATAGTAATAATAACAATTATAAAAATGAATTTCATATGGAAATTCCAGTTACAATCATTACTAGAAATAATCAGGAGAATCGTTTACAACTAAATGACGGACGAGAAGATGGAATAATAAATTACGATCAAACGACGATCGTTACCGAACGAATTCCATCTGCAAATACAAATTCGAATCAAACGCTCAAGTCTATTTTAAAACGATCTTCATCAAGAGAAACTGTTTCAAGAAAAAATGTTAGTTTTATGAATGCTTGATAGGTTGTATGCATACCTTTAAACAAGACACAAAAAAAAGCATACATATTTATTTTTTATTATACTTTTCTTTTCTTCTTCTTTCAATCAAAACTGCCTTCGTTCTTATTTTTATTTCTTTTGTTTTGTGCGTTCTTTCTCTCTCCTGTTTTGATACACTAAAGATGCTGCATATTGTGTCTATTGAATAATAAGAAAAAAAACAAATAGAACTGATAACATTATATATATATATATATATATAAGATCAATGAGTACAGTTAACATTACATTTTAGCTAAACGAAAGACATTTGTGAGTCTGCTGTGTGTATGTCGATCATTCGTCCGTATCTTTATTTCTTTAATGTTTCAAGTCTAAAAAGTACTGATGTTGATGCTGCTGTCCGTTGTGCTCTTCGATTACCAATTGATAAGAGTTGGTAGATGATAGTTTCTTTTTAAACTCGAATGTAGCATATACACACATTGTTCTTCTTTAATTGGAAGAAGTGCATGTGTTGTGAAAAGAATGAATATACAATCTGGCCAAAAGACAGACCTCATTCAGTCATTCGGGTAAGTTCGACTCTTTTCTTTCTCCCTTGATGATCGATGTATCGATAAGATAACGAACGACGACGTTGCAATTTCGCGGCGTCGTCGTCGGCAATGGCCAGAGAATGAGGGAGAGAGAGAGAGAGAGAAAACGTTTTTTATGGATATGTGCAAGGCTTATCTCTTCTCCGCGTGTAAGCGAATGGCAAAAAACATCACCAACATCGGCACGGTGATTTAACCTGTTCTCTCTCGTCTCTCTTTTCCTCAGTATATGTGCTGACTTCAATCACAGACTCTCTTATCTCACCAGCGTAAGAAGAAGCAGGTACTATTTAGAAAAAATAGTTTCAATATAAAATATTGATTTCTTCATTTATGTCTAAATAAATTATAGGTAATAAGTATATATATTTACATTTATAAATGTATATCGATAACATACACATTTATTCTTTCTTCCTTTTTACGTTTCTCAATTATTATCATCGCATCACCAGTGCTCCTCAATTTAGTCAAAAAATCAATATTATAAATCTAAATATGCTATTAATCAGATATGTATCCAAATGATGACAAGCCAAAAGATGCAAGAAAGTATTGAAGCAATATCTAACTATACTTTTGAATCACTCATTCGCATCTTACTTACTCAGTCAGTCTCGCTAGTTGGTCTTCTTATCAGTGCCTAATCTTTGTGCACGCCGCCTATCTACGTGCTCTCGCTCCCCTACACACTCTATGAAAGCGTATCTAAATATTATCTCCAGTGAAATAAAGAGAGAGAGAGAGGGAGAGAGAGAAAGAAGAGTTGAAAGAGACGACGATGGTGATGACGGGACGGGACGTCAAAGATTAGAAGATCGAATTCTCTTTCTTCTTTTTTCGATATATATATATATATTGAACTTTTTTTTTCTCTTCTTCTCTATGTCTTCTCAATGTTCCGTAATGGTCAATTTGCGCTTATCGGTTAAGAGAAAAGAGCGAGAGAGAGAGAGAGAGAGAGAGAAATGCGATTATCATCGATTAGATCGCATATATGTATATACATGTATGTGCATCCTTCTCGTTTGCTTTTTTCTTCTTCAGACATATACATATATGCATAGACACTCAATGGCCATGTCCCGTCGTAAGCAACTTCATCCGAAGTCATTGAAAGGTACATTAAAAAGAAAAAGAATTTTTTCGTATTTGTTTTATATGATATTTTAAAGAAGGTGATGAAACAATGTTTGTTCTACCCGATGAATTGAAATGTGATGAAGAAGTAAGTTTAATAAATATAAACAAATCGAAGAAAAACAAATTTATTTTATTTGTTCTTTTTCTTTTTCTATTTTTTCTTTTTTTTGCAAATCATAGTCACATGATATTATAGCTCGAATTGATATTGAACAAGGGCATCGTTTTGGTCCATTTCCAGCTAATCTCGTTTCTTGTCAACAACAACAATTGTCATCCGGTTCAGATTCAACTAATGTTAGTTGTATGATCATGCAAGTATGTTCTTATTTCACATTTTATGACAGAAAGATAAGGTTTACTCTCTTCCTCGTTCTCATTCAATCCTGCTGTCGTTGCATTCTTGGTGCCGCTAGATAAGACTCAACGACGGCATCATAGAAGGTTTCTCTGTTAGATTATATTTGCTGCTACCGTTTTTAGTCGAGTTATCTATCTCATCGTTTTGCTCTTATCATCGTCAAAGCACATATTCATGTTCGCTATGTGTGCGTGTGCATACAAAGAATTGAAAGATGGCTGATAGAACAACGACGATGAGGACATTGAAGAAATGAGAATGACACGAGCGATCTATGATAGCTCGTTGTTGTCGTTGTCTTATCGGCCATTCCAATCCGATGGTCGCGCGTGCGGGCACGCATGGAAGTATGGTTATCTTGAGTTTTTTCTTTTTTTTATGTATATGTGTCGAGAGATGATAGGATGGCAGTGACGAAAGAGAGAAAAGAGAGAGAGAGAGAGAAAGAAAGATTGGACTAATCTTATCTTTTGGAATGACCGAATATAAAAAAGGAACGAAGATTAATGTGACAATTCATTTTTTTTTTATTCTTTATTATTATAGATTGATAATGAAATTCTTGAACATCGAACACAATCTTTTCAATTACTTGATAATAAACATAATTGGCTAGCTAGATGTTCAACATCGAATAATTCTTCATCAAATCTCGATATAAATTTTCAAAGTAATTAATTAATTAATTTTTGATAGTTTTTTATTGATTAAATAAAAATTATTTAGATGATCAAATATATGCAATTTTAACTCAATCTATAAAAATTGGTACACGTCTTTCTTCAAATATAATAATTCTTCCAAAATTAACGCATACTGAAGATTCTCAAGTAAAACAAGAACCAAAATTAACTATGAATAATAATAATAAGAATGATGATAATATTAAAGTCAAAGAAGAACCTATTGAATCTGAAGATGAACAACAACAACAAATTGATCTTTCTTCACCGAGTATTAAATCAGAATCACCTATCACCAATACTAATACATCAAAAACTAAAGAAACAAAAAAGCTTCATCGTAAGTTTTGCCTTTTTTAAAGTTAATTCAAATTTAATTCTTATTTTTTTTTTTCGTAGCTCTTCTTTTTACATGTGATGATTGTGGTATTCGTTATAGTAACCGAAATACATTAGATGCTCACCGACAACATTATTGTACCAAACGAGAAACTACAAAAAATCATTCAACAGGTAAATCGATAAAGATAACGTAATCTCTAACAAAGAAAAAGGTCATTGATTGCCATAAAAAAAAAAGAAATGTTTTATAGATTCGACAATGGCTGTTAAAATAAAGGGCATGAAACGCAAACATATTGATATAAATGATTCATCACCATCACCAACAAAACGTTTATCGTTATCATTAAATGATGCTTATTGTTCAGAATGTGATATTTTATTTTCAAAACCAGATAATCTTTTACAACATAAATTACATTATTGTGGTACAAAATCATCATCTTTACGTCAAATAAATGAAAATATATCAAGTTCATTTCGACCACCTATCCCATTTGATCGTCCAATACAAATAGGACAATTTATATATGTACCAGTACCAATTGTTTCATCACAAATTGAAAATAATGATCGATCATTATCACCTAATGATGATAATAAACCACTTGATTTAAGTAAACCTAAAAAACAAAATAATGATCATGAACAACAACAGCAACAACCTCTAACAACGAATAATACATCGACATCACCATTAGATTTAACTATTGAAAAACCAACAAATTTATTTAATGTACTTAATACATCATCAATAATAACAAAATCAACACATCATACTCAACAACAAATATATGAATGTGATTATTGTTCAATACGTTTTAGTTCATTAAAAACTTTGCATGCTCATCAAGAAAACTATTGTATTGAATATAGAAAACAGAAGAAAATTGGAAATAATAATTCATTAATAAATACATCTACAAATGAAACGAAAACACCAAACAATGATTCTAATCGGTAAGAATAAGCAGAGATTTATTATTATATTCATATAAAAGACCATACAACAGCAAATAAACAAAGTGAACACTTTATCTGAAAGTCTGTCGTTCTTCGTAAGGAAACATTCGCCTCATCTCCGTTTTTTTTTCGGGATTTCTCCGGAACGGCTCTACGCAGTCTTATGGAACTTTCAAGACAGATAGATCTCAATAAGTAAAACAAAATTTGTTATAGAATGAAAATTTCTAAACACGCTTCCTTCAAATAGATACGGAGATCGCACAATCTAAAATTTTCATCCAAAAAACTTGGTACTTCAGTTTTTTAAGCTGCACTTTTTTTAATGACAATTCCGATCAAATCGAGATCCGTTTTTTTTGGTTTCTGACCAAAGTACTCCTTAAAAAAGTTGAGCTCGATCGGCTCTACCGTGCGAGAGAAAACTTCTTTTTTCTTTTGTTCAAAAATTGGTTTTAAGGAAGACGCAAAACAAACTTTTGTGTATGTATCTGAACGTTTGTTTTTCCTCCAACTCAATTGATCGGAAACTGGTCACGTTAAAGACTTCTGATTTATGCTCTCAGCATCGATAGAAATTATAATTAGGAGAAATTTGTATACAAAGAGTAATCACAGCGCGAATTTCTCTGCTAGGGATATTGAGAGTTGGTCTTAATACAAATACTGTAACTCACAACGAAGAACTTTCATTAATATAGCATTTGACGGCAAACACTTCGAATCCATATTACCGATGAAAAACCAAAAAATGAAAAAAATTTTGGTTTTAACATGCGAAAAGAAGAAGAAGATGGTCCATCAAAAAGACAAAAATAGAAAAGCTATTTTATGACGTCTTTTGAATGCTAATTGAAGCTCAAGTAAATGATTATGAAACACTCATTAATCGATAACGAGAATTTTTGAGTGATTTAGCATCGTTTGCTTGGACTATATTTCTATCATTCAATGATTAAGAAAACTTTGTTTTTTTTTGACAGATAGTTTCTACTCTTCTATCTATAAATGTTATTTTTTCATATAGATGCAAATAGCACAGAAAATGTCGTAGAATGAAGTCATGCATGACTTTAACATTTTCAAAATATACAATCGAGATATAGATAGATGTTATCATATGTTAGAATTTCTCAATCTGAAGTTTATTTATACATTAAGTTGAAAACCGATGTATAGGCTATCGACAACTGGCGTATTTCAAAAATGCGTTTAGCTATTGTTCGCGGTGAACTAATCTATTGGCTTACTTCTCTAATCATAGAAGATATTTGAATAAAGAAATTCTTCTGTTCATGATAAGTATGTTATTGTCGGTCAGAGGCGCATGGGGTGTGGTGACGGCACCTCTATTTACTTTTTCCTTATATAAGAATCTAAAATTGCAGTATCAACACGTTTGTTATTTAGTTGAATGGCTATTTCGTTGAACGTATATCCACAAGGTGCCGTATTCACACCTTGATACCGTCAACCATGAAATGACTCTGAGCAACTGATGAACGGCTATTTGTCTCTGATCACCTGGCTGATAGCATGCTAACTACGTTCTGACATACATCTATTCTTGTGGTAAGGTAGTGTGTATGAGGAGCTCAAGAACTCTGTATCAGGTTGATCTTCTGTCAGAGACTAAAGCTAGTATTAGTTGTAGGCAAGATATCGAGCTGTTGAATCTACCACTAGGTAGTACTCTATACTGCAAGATAGCCGAAAGACAGGATTATTCGTTTTTCTTCCTTGTTTGTCTATATTACATCAATTCTTATTGTAAACTCTGAATAGATCCCAATCTCCTCCAATATCATCAACAATGTCAAGAACGACTCCATTATCTCCGAATGATTCTATAAATTCATCTTATCTACCACCACATCGTTCATCTCCATTTATGTGTCGTCTATGCAAATATCGTGGAAATACTCTACGTGGAATGCGTATGCATTTTAAATTTCATTTGTCTAATAATGAACCATGTTCAGACGATGATATTATTATAACATCAACAATAAATAATTCTTTATCTATTCCATCAACTCAATTATTACTTAAATGTACAATATGTTCGGCTATGTTTGATCATGAAGATGCATTAATAAATCATATAAAGTGTGTACATACAAAAGAAACTTTACTTGAATGTTTAGAATGTCAATCAAGATTTTGTTCAAAATGGAATTTACTTCGTCATATGAAATTAACACATACAAATATTAAATGTGATGAAGAAGAACAAGATGATAATACTGAACATATTATATCAAATGATTCTCATTTTATTATTAATGGATCAAATAATGAACAAAAATTGGAGGATGATCAAGAGTATGTTTGATTAAAAAAAAAACCGAAAGATTGTTTTTATTTGCAAAATTTTTCTAGTCTTTCCTCTTCTCCATCTTCTTCTGGTAATGATAAATCCTCTGGTCCAATGAATCTCACTCGTAATGTTCTTATTGAATCAATGGATATAAACTCAATGAAAAAAGTTTCCGATGGATATGTAGTGAAAAAAAAATTTGCTTGTCCTTATTGTCACATAAAATTTGGTAGCATTGACACATTAAAACAACATATGACGAATTATTGTTCATCACGACCAACAAATGATGATCAATCAAATAATAAAAAGAAAACTAATGATACGTATTGTTCAACATGTCAAATTCCATTTCGACATAAAAGTTCTTATGATGCACATAAAATGTATTATTGTCGAGGTAGTAATAAAGCTCATGTTAAAATGCAAGCTTAATTATTATTCTTTATTTGTATTATTGTAGTCGTGTTTTTTTTTCTTTTTCTTTTCTTTTTTTATTTTTCATTGCTCTTTTTTTTCTTCTTTTGTATTTCACATATTTGTCTTGCTTTCATGTTTTTCTTTTCTTTTCTTTTTCATCTTTCAAGTAACATAAATCGACAAACAAGATATGTCTAAGAAATATTTGCAAAAAATTAGTTCTTTTTAAATGAATCATATTTTATGAATAATTTGCTAGAAATCGAAAAAGTTCAGTTAATTTCAGATTCGGTTTGTATGCAGTTTTGAATCTGAATAGAGAAGAGCTGATAATCAATATACCGAACTGCATTGCTTCGGCTATGACTCAATTTTAGATTGTCTGCTTTTTGACAAGAGTCAATAACTGGCTGACATCGTGAATCTTGATTTGGTCATGTACACAGAGAGTGTCAGATATTCATGGAAGAAAAACTTGGATCTATACCCAATCCGGTTCGGATCTGACTAAAAAACAGCATGGACCGGCAGCTCTCTAGTGTCTGATACAGTGAACGAAATTCTTTTTTTCATTCATATATGAATTCTTAGGAGCTGAAATTTTTGATGCTGAATTATCATTGAATACCATGACGTGGCATAAGATATTAGATGATTTAAAGTTTTCCAAGAAATTTTTTTCGATTTTGAGAAATCATTTCTGAGAGATTTGCAACGTGAGACGCTCTTTTATATATGATATTTGGAACGAAAGTCTCCCATCTATTCCAGACCTCAGCTATCATAGTTACTGGAGATCTTAAAATTTCTGTGCACATAATCCACCAAGAATGTATATCAGAGACATTAGCTTGCGCCGATTGCTTAAACACAACAGAAATTATAATGGATAGTATGAATTTTTTCTTTGAACTTAATACTTCTGAAAAGAAAATGTTTTATAAATGAGCCGGTATCTTATTATTTACCGTTATGTTTCAGCTCTCCAAGCTATTCACTTCATCGAAACTCACAAACCCTCGCTAGAATGATGACAATTCAACTGTGACTATTCGAGAAGCGAAAAGTTCCGTGATATCCTTTGTAGACCGTAACTCAGTAATACTTTAATGAATCGAGCTCAAACTTTTTAGGAAACTTTTGCCTGTAGTTAAGCACTAGTTCTTACAAATCTCAGAAAAGAATATTCTTCTAAAGGGAAATGGTATGTCAATAACCATTGTCTTGGCGTCGAACACTCAAAGACACACATAGACAGCAATCTTGTAACAAATGAGATCACATATTGGGCTTCGGTTGCACATAAAGATATCAGGAATCAGTTATGTATTTGATAAAAGGTAAGGTGAAATTTGATAGACAGCTCTTTCAGATAAAAAACAACTTGAAGCAAAAATGGGCACCGTCCATCATAATCAAGACTTCCTAAATGTATGGAAGCTCAGATCAGCTAGGGTGGGGGGGAACAGCACTTTTGTCCACTACGATATATAAAAATAATAAAGAGTTCACATGAGCATTGTTCGTTGTTTGTCATAGAATAAGCATGTTACTTCAAGGACGATTTTGTTTTAGAAAATTTCATTTATCAAAATGCAGCTCATGCTTTGCTCTTTCTATTTATAGGGTTTCAATTCTTTTGAACAATTTTGAGGTAAAAGTAACTTAATTTACAAGATCGTTCAAAAGATTTTGTCTAGTATTGTATCTGAAATTTATTTGAAATTCATCTTATTTAAAACGGATCCATTTCTTTTGCAATAGTTACTGAAAAAAAAAATTCATTGAGTTAGTAACCATATACCAAACGTATATTGAGCTGATTACATGCGGTTTATTTAACCCTCTACCCATGATAGGGCCTAAAGAGACATTGTGCTGATTACAAGTAACTTATGAAGAATGAAAAGCAATTAAAGCAAAGCACAAACGTAAAGCATATAAAACTATGAAGAAAGATAACATGAGTCATGTGCGATGGTTTGCAAAGTCGAACCATTTTGGTATGCGAGCAGAATGCATAGACCATCGACGAACAAGTAGTTTTGAGACGTGTAGAGCAGAACAGAATTATTTAAAACTTGGTGCCGNATATAAAACTATGAAGAAAGATAACATGAGTCATGTGCGATGGTTTGCAAAGTCGAACCATTTTGGTATGCGAGCAGAATGCATAGACCATCGACGAACAAGTAGTTTTGAGACGTGTAGATCAGAACAGAATTATTTAAAACTTGGTGCAATAGGGAGGAAAGACTCGAACATGATACCAATTCTCGAGAAACGAACATATTGCCACTCCGCCAATCCCCCCTAAACGTATATTGAGCTTTCTAAATGAAATATATCGGTGACATTGCCCATCTATTTACCATTGATCTTTTTATTCTAATCATTCTGAATATTACACATAAGTTCGAAATAATTATTCCGATAGCGGTTTCTTTTTTTCACTTATGACATAAACTACTAACATTAATGTTTTATTAAATCCTCATTAGAAAACAAAGAAGAAGAAAAAAAGAAAGAATGTTTCATTACAAAGAACAAAATCAGTTTGTTCATATAGTCATTTAAATTCTTTTCATTTTCTTATCGTATTGAACAACGATGGAGAAACGCATCTTAAAGCTTGAATTTGATGTTGCTACAACAAGTCGGTCAGAAACTGGTCAAAGTGCTGAAGAAATTGGCAAAGCAATGGAGCTTGTTCAACGTGAGCGTGATCGTGACGTTAAAGAAAAAGAAGAATTGCGTCATTTAAATGATCGTTTTTCACATTTTCTTGCTAACATTGAACAATTAAAACGTATCAACGAACAATTACAAACACAATTAAAAGATGAATTTTCTAAATGGGGAATTTTACCACGTGATGAAAATGAATTACAACAAACAATTATTCAAATAAATGATCGTGCCATAAAACGTGCTACTGATGAAGTACGTTCACGTGCTGCTGAACAAGAAACTGCTGTAGTTAATCGTGCAACTGCTTTATATGGAAATATTCAAGATATGTATAAGCGTAAACAAGAAAATCTACGTCATCTTATCGATAAATTACAAGAAGAATTAAATCGTATAATACAACGTGAACGTGGAAGTGAAGAAGAATTATCAAGTATTCGAGATGATTTAATAAAAGAATTAAATAAATTTCGTGAACGTTTACAAGATTGGTTACGTTTAGTTATTGATAAACAAACATTATTAGATGACATTCAATCATTACGTGAACGTATCAATTTAATAAACGCATTAAATGATGAAGAAATCAATGAATGGAAACGTCTTTTAGATCAATCAAAAGATGATTCAATTTTATTTTATAGAGAAGAATTAACAAATGCTATACGAGATATAAAACGTGATTATTCAAAACAAGCAAAAAAATTTCAAGATGAACTTGAATATCAAATCGAAGGACAATTACGTATTGTTGAAAATCAACTTAAACAAATGCCTGGATTAACAGATAGTTCTATACAAGAATGTGATAAACAGAGAATTCAAGTCGAAGAAACAAAATTACGTACAAGCATGGAAGTAAATAATTAGAGATTTCTTAAACGATTTTCTTTACAAGGAAAGTTCTACAATTGATAAAATGTTTTTGACATAAGACTATGTTCTTGATGTAGACTGAAATAAGTTATGAAGACCTTGAAAAGAGTTTGTATCCTTAGTTTATTGATGCGAAGATGCTGCACTTAGGTGATAATTCTAAATAAATGACGTGGCCCTCCTTAATGAGCACCAAAAGACTCATTCTCGAAGTTCAACTTAAAATTTTGCATACACACAGATCGTAACGAGAGTAGTTTTTGTGAACATTTTAGATCGTGTTGCTCTTCCTATGCCAAGAGATAGTTATGGTAACAGTGTGTCTTTTGTGTCGGTCATATGAACTGACAGATTTGATGTTCTTATTTCAGGATAGAAGCAAATTCAAAGGTCTGAAACTTTCACAATAAATTATTTTCATTAAGATTTGTCTCTATGTAATGTTTCAAGTCAGAATTCGAAAATCAGTTTCGCTGGACCATGGCATTCATTTAAAAACTACCGTAAAAATGCAGTATCTCCGTGACAATATGCCAAGAGTACTAACTATCTTCAGAGTATTCATAGCTCATTTGGATCTATATAATGCACATAGTCTGGAGTCAAAAGTAGTTTATCAGGCAGGAATCTTTCCTTGTAAGTCATTTTTTGTTGTTTTTGTTAGGAATATGATAAAGAACAATGCCAATTAAATAACTTAACTAAAATGTTATCCGACAAACGTCGTTTATTACGTGATGAAGAAACAAAATTACATGAAAACGAACGTAAAATTCGTGATAAACAATTGCATGAAAGAACCATAGCTGAAAAACTTAAAAATGAATGTGATGATTTACGTGGACGTTTTGAACAAATGGCATATGAATTACGTTTTAGTATTGAAGATGAACTTCGAATTTATGCTCGATTACTTGATGAACTTATGAAAAAATCATCAATAATAAATACTACAACGAATTTTACAAGTCAATCATGTGGAAATTCAACATCAACAATAATTCGTGCAAGTGGAGTTGAAGATAATAATATTTCTTTAACTGTTCAACATACAAATAATAATTTAACTGCTAGTACAAGTGATATATTAGATTTAGCTAGTAGTCATAGTGGATGGCCACAAGATGTAGATTTAAGTGAGAGTGCAGAAAGTTTAATTAAAACAAATGAAAATGAAATTCAGGAAACGTATGATGGTTGTTCAATGATTAGATCTTCATCATATTCTAAACTTGATTAAAATATATAAAAACATTTGAACTTCTTTTTTTATTAATAATAATTAGTTTCTATGTCGTAGAATTCTTTTCTTTTCTCACTGTTTGTTTTTTGTTTTATGTTCGTTTATTAAAAATCAATCTATTCATTACAAATAATATGATCTACCACCAATTTTTCGTATCTTGTGTTATTATACCAGAAAATATTCGATTAAATCTTGGTTGATC